CACATGTTTTTTAACCACAAGAAAAACAGGCTCCGGGAGAGTACGTAATTGTTCCAAACTGCACGGGCGTGATCTTCAAGCATCCAAGCATTCGTTGCCAGAGCTGCCTCTAACGCAATGTGTCAGAAACAGTCCATCATTGACCCAGCCAGTCTGCCAATCAGCAGTCAATCTGCCTACCAGCCAGTCAGCCAACAAATTGGTTATCATAATATCTAGCCGTCCTCCCGAAAGAATCTGTGGGACATGGCTTGGTTTGGCTGGGGGAGGGATTTTAATGGCTGGAACCACGTCTCTCCGCCGTCTGCGCTCGGATCTGGGCGACCCCGGCGAGTTTGCAATACGGCAAGCCGAGGGCAGGCGATTGCATCATCGAGCTGACGCCGATGCCTACGCCGAGCTGACGCATGTTGCGCACCGCTTTGCTTCCGTTTGCTTAAGTTATCTGGGGAAAACACACACACACACATGGTTGACCTATAGGATTAATAAACCCGCCCCATTCTTGGGGGGGGGGTTCCCTCCAAAAGTGATGAATCCCACTAAAAGGCAACACCCCCGTCAACCAGGGGTTTATTATTCCGGGGTTAACATTATTTCCGACAGTGTGATGAACTCCCTTCAAAACCAACAAGGGAAAATAACAACATAGTCTTAAGCACATGGAAGTTTGAGGATTCCACTCAACATGTAAAACCAAACAGCATCAAAGCTGTCAATATGCAGTCCGTGCGAAACTCTTCGAAGGAACATCTGCCCACAAAAACAGCTGATGTGCGACCAGGCTGAGGTGATTTGTCAGCGGCTGTGAAGCACATTGCACTAGTGCAATGTGAAGTGGTGTAGCGTCTGTTCTCCGTTCATGGCTCAATGTTCTCAAAACAGCCCGTCGTGTGACATGCTTGCCAAGTTCCCCAAGCAGTCCTCCGCCTTTTGTCTGACATGCTTGCCGAAACAAAAGGCGAACCTCTCAAGTAGAGACCTGTCGACCTCCCCCGAATCCCAAGTTGCCATCTCTCCCCATCGCCCTCAGGGCATCCCCATCGCCCTCAGAAGTTCTGGCCCAGAAAGCCACGAGAAGGCCAAGCCGCTCCCCACCAGCTGCTGCAAGGCGCTGTGCTCGATGTCTGCGTCCCCAATGCCTGGGCATTGGAGGGGGCGGCTCGCCTTGGGAAGTGGAGCCCTCTTCTTGCCCCTTAAAACTCCCTGGGCCCTGGGGAAGTTCTCATCTTTTGCAGACAAATTTTGCCCATGTTACCCAAAAAGTGGAGAAAAGTGGTGTTTTTAAGAGGCAAGTCTTTGATTGGGAGATTTGGAGAGCTGGCAAATGGGCAGATCCACTTGGGGAGAAGTGGAACCAGACATGGAACTCCAGGGGTTGTCTTCTCCCCCAATTCCGTCTTTGAGGGAGTGGGGATTCTGCGGTACTCTGCATTCCAAAGTCCACCAGCTCGATTGCACCGGCTCGATGCTCAGCCACTTGAATCGATCCCGTGCAGCCACGCGGCTCATGAAGCTTCGGACATTCTCCTGGGCTCGAGCGGCTATCCTAAACTCAGCGGAATCCGTCCCATATTTTTCGGCACTCAAAACACTAGAAAACAGCTTGGGTGCGGTTTGTGTTGATCCACCTCGGTAGGATATTGAAAGAGTACTAGAAAAAAAGGGGGAAAGAACAGGTGAAATCCACCAAAAGCTCATCCAAGCCGTTTTCTAGGAAGCTGCTTACAGTGGACGGAAGACTGGGCCAACCACCTGCGAGCTTGCAAAAAAGCCGGGCGACAGCTGCCGGCCAGGGTCTGGACTATGAATACCAATGAATACATAGCGGAAAACTGTTCCCAGATGCCTTCGAAATCGAATGGCAAACAGCTGTACGTCGCTGATATGTGGATATTCCAAATCGCGCTGACAAATAGCACTCCATTAACCTTTCCATACATGTATGCACAATTATATATATATATATATGTATATCAACATTGCACTCATGCAGGCTAGAGCAATAGCTTCCCTGAAAACGCCACAAAGTTCCGGCAAGGAAGTGCTGCAAAGGACCCTCAGCAATGCAAACAATATCGCATATATCGCATATGCAGCATCAACTTGCACAGCTAGACACTGACATCAACAACTCTTGCTGTACTACTTTCTTGGCAAATAATGAATCATTGGTTTCTTGTGGAAAGATCCATATGTTTCTTTGCAATGCAAACACGTTCACATCAATAGCTGCTTGCTTTCCGAGGCGCGGTGTTGCCGAAGATTTGCTTTACGCAGCTTCGCATCGCATCCCGCTTTGCCCTGATGAACCTCGGCTCCAGCTCCGCCCGGAAATCGATTTCTGGCCATGTACAGGGCTCCCTATGAACATCACTCCCAGCAAAAGGAAACTCACAGAGAAGTGGCCAAAAAGGTGATGTTTCAAACCACAAAAAAGGGAAATATAGGGAACCCTGATGTATCTAGCAAAGGGGCATGAATCACAAGCGGGTAGCGAGGCTCTCAAGACAAGTGACACTTGACCACCCTGGCATCAAACCAGTCTGGCATGTTTCATCTTAAGAACAAACCCTGGAACATGCTGTGCGGGAGCGCAACTAGTGACTTGTACCTTGCCGCTGCGGCCAGTCCTCGGCCTGGCTTGAAGCCTTTCAATATGAGCACGTGCATCGCGCTACTCGACAGTCCCTCCAAATGTTCGAATTGCTGCCTGTCAGATCTATATGGTCATCCTTTTGCGCGAACCCAAATTGAAACTGACAGCATGCTCTCAGTTGCAAAAGAGCAAGCACATCCAACAATCCTGCCCAAGCTCCTGAAACATGGACACAGCCCTCAAAAGCAAGGATCCATGTCGCAAAGCTGCGCCCACGCGCTTCAATTGTAAAAACCAGGGCCAAGCAGTGGCTAACCTTGCATGAAGGTGTGTCCTTGAACCCTTCCCAGCACAGATCCTAGTTCTGGATTTCCGGATCTATGAGTCAGGGGCGAAAACAACTGAAGGTGTATCATTGAGCGTGGTTTCCTTGATTTGGCGCTTCTACAAGGCTTAACTAAGGAGCCCTCCGCAGATATGTACGGTCAAGTCAACATAATCAATGATCCAGACTACAGGATCCCAAAACAAAATGAGAAAACATGGCACCTGCCTCAAGGATGAGGTTGCTATAGCATAGCGGCTGACGCAACAATGGCTCTTTGACCAAAGTCGCGCGCATCTTACCACCTGCCAACTGATCTGCAATTTTATAATTCCAAAACCTGAAAGAGGAATTGAATGGGCAAGTAAAGGATCTTTACCCATTGGTGAGCTCGTTTTATTTGCAGGTGAGGATACATTACCTCCATTTGGTTCAGACCCCTGGACAAAAAACGAGAAAATATGTCCAGTAGTGAAATCGATTCCCTTCAAAACCAACAGGGGAAAATGAAAACATGTTAAGCTTTGCAGCCATTTAGTTCCTTACACATGTCTTCGGACAGCCAAGCCTAGGTTGCGCAGACCGACGTGGCGCCAGGTCGAACCCCTCGTCGCGAAGCCGAGCCGCGCCCCGGGAGAGGCCAGGTTCGCCACGGCCAAGGGCACGTGCTCCCGCGCGTAGAAGACCGGGATCCTGGGGCTGAAGCAGCTTGTCCCCCCCATCTTGTGGGGGGGGGCGGGGGTAGGGGGTGGGGGGGCAAGAATTTGTGGTTTCCATTTTCAAGGGGGAAGGGTTCAACCACTCTAGATGCAAAGAAAACTGAAAGGGCGCCATCTCTGATCATAGCAACCCTGACCCCTCTGCAAAAGTCGAATCACTTCTTGTGAGGCCCATAGGAAATCCATAGGTCCAAAGGAAGACTTTGGTGAGTCCAGTGGAACATCCACTGCAAGTCCGAAAGATCCCAACCAACTAGCCATGTCAGCTACCCTCACCTGATAGCGTCCACCCTAACACTCACTCAAGTAAAGGCATCCTCAAAGACAGCCAATAGAAACTGGAGTGTTCCAAATGGCCGAAGACATGTTTCGAGGTGATCCCTGGGCTGAAGCATTGAACGTCCCCAATCATACTTGAGGAAAGCCCTACGTTGGATTCACAAATGACTGTGGGTCAAAAACATGTATCCAAAACCTGCGGTGCCCTGGTGGCTTGATTTTGACCCATACCCAAATCCAAGCAAACAACACTAGCAACGCTGCAGAGCTATGCTTCTGTTCGCAGGCCCGGTCCACAAAAGCGCCCTTTGACTGGCTGACACTCCTTCAGCACAGGTGCACAGGTTTGACAGACGCTTCTTCGGCCATGCGCATCACCAACGCAAGCCGCAAAACAGCAAAGCAGGGTCCAGCAAGCAAGAACGATACACATCTGACGCCCATTGCCGCTGTACTTTACGGAGTGGCCGTTTTTCTGGACTGGTGAGGCCCAAACCCTAAACCATAAAAGCGGAAACTCCTGCTGCGGGATCTCAACCTCACCTTGTGACTCCGTTTCGTCTTGCCAGCTAGGGCCTAGGATGTTCGTAGCTGAGCCGGGCAACCAACAATCATAAATTTGGGGGTGGTCGTTGACCCCCTGATTCAAGTTTCACATAGTATAGGAGTTTGCTGCTAGGCTGTAGGGGGGTAGTCATAGTTTTGAAGGTTCAGAAAAGGTTAAATGGATATCCTTACATATACACCTGAACATTGCCTTGTAAATCCCTTTATTTTGGTCGAACAATTCATGTTTCAAATGGTTGCAAAATGGAGATATTTTAAGGAGCCCTGTAAAAAGCCATGATTACCTTAAAGCAACCAAGCAAGCTGTAGGTAAATAATCGTCGCACCAATGGACCAAAGCTCTATGCAGGTTCTTGACCCTCCGACTTGTGCGGGCTGGACGAAAAGGCGAGGCGCCTCGAACGATCCTTGAAATGTCAAGACCGACCCCCGTCCAAAGGTTGATCCATGTTGAATTGCAAGCTCTGGCTCAAATCAGCCAAACAACGCATGACACAAACACATACATGTGTGGGCTATTTTGGGCAATGCACAAGGATCGTTGTGGCAGGAAACTTGGGTAAGCAATGCCATGAGAAGCCCATGCCACACGTTCCCTTTGAGCCAAATAAATGGGTCCGAACATTTCAAAAGTTTCGGTGCGTTTTGTCTTTCCTTAACGAATCATTCCAGCAAGTCGCCGATTCCGAGATCAAAACCAACCCTTGGCTCAAGCCACCCCGGTTACCCGTCGCCAAAGCGTCTGAAGCTCTGCCAAGAGCTTGGAAAGGTTCAGGCCAGGCAGGCAAGCCTGGCAAGTCTCTTTTTCCCCGATGGGGGTTTGGGGGTTTTGGGGGGGTTGGGGTGGGGGGTTTGGGAGGTTTTGGGGGTTTGGGGGGTGTTGGCGGGGTTTAGGGGTGGGGGGCTTGGGGTTTGGGGTGGAGGGGTTTGGGGAGGGGGAGTTGGGTGGGGTGGGGGTTTGGGGGGGTTGGCGGGGTTGGGGGTGGGGGCTTGGGGTTTGGTTGGGGGGGTTTGGGGTGGGGGGGTGTTGGGTTTGGGGGTGGGGGGGGTTGGGGGAGTTGGGGGGGGGGTGGGGGTGTCGGGGTGGTTTCGGGGGGGTTGGGGAGTTGGGGGGTGTGCTTGCGGGTGTTGGGGGGGGTGTTGGTGTTGGGAGGGGTGTTGGGGGGGGTTGGGGGGGGTGTTGGGGGGTGTTGGGGGGGTGTTGGGGGGGTGTTGTGTTGGGGGGTGTTGGGGGGGTTGGGGGGTGTTGGGGTCGATCGGCAAGCTGAAGAAAAAAGTCGGGGTATGTGTTTGACAACAAGCAAAAACAACCAAGAACCCATCCCTTTCCAGAACTATGTGGGTGGGCTTGCACTTGACCTTTAGGAGTAGGAGCATGTGGGCGAAATTTTGCCAACAGCCAGCGGAGGGCTGACTAGAAGCTTGGGAAGCTAGCTCAGTTGGCAGGAAGCTCACTTGGCTTATCCTAATTGCGTGACGAAGGAAGAAGTCACCCAATCCCTTTCATCTCTCTCACACCCTATCACCTCCGCATCTGGGATAGACGGAGGAGGTGATGGAGAGAGATGATCCGCTGGAAAGAACTGGCCAGCGGATGAAGAAGGGACAGTGAGTGAGTGGAGAAGCCTGAGGATTAGAAAGGTGGGCTACATCTCTTCCTTTGTTCATCACTTCACTCTTTTCTCTTTCATATTCTCTGGATTCATATTCCACCGGCCATGAAAGAACAGCGAACCTGCCTAGTCTTTGAGTCGCTTTTTGGGTAAAACGTGGTAAATCCCATGTAAATCCCAATTGTTCATCGCTGGCTATCATATTCCAGATGATGGGATGGCTGAGTGATGCCCAAGTGCAACGCTCTGCTCATCAATTCCAGAGGCAAAGATCATTCGGACAACTCCCGAACCAAGCTTGAAGATCCACATGCGCCTGCTCCTAAAGGTCAAGTGCAAGCCCACCAAACAGTTCTGGAAAGAGATGGGCTTCTTGGCTGGTTTTGCTTGTCAAACACATGCGGCATGTGCTTCATTCCTTGTTTGCTGCTGACCCCCCTGCAAAAAGTTTAACTTTTTTGGGGGGGTTAGTGGAAATCCCCTTGATTTCAACCAAAAAGTGAAAGTCTAAAGATCCAACCCAATAGCAGTCAAGATTCCCGTCCCACGGGGTACACTTCGACCCACGCCTGGGAGACTTCATCCAGCCAGGGCCGCCGTGCCAAAGTCACGATGGCCACGGAAGAGAGCTTGCGCGCAGATCCTCGCTCGCGGTTTGGTGCTTGAATCGGGACTTGGCATGCGCCGAGATAAGCGATAAGCTGCGGCACAAAATTTGTAGAACGCCTCCTGGGCAACCAGCCCCGTCTTTTAGGGGCAAGGCCTGGCTCATAGGCCTGCGATTCCTTTTGCACCCCAGCACCACACCTCGAGCCGAGGCTCTTAGGATGGACTCCACCAGCTTCGCAATGCTCGAGAGGTCATGGAAAAACCTCCGCTTCGAGCGGCTCAGCGAGCGCCCCCAACTGCATCCAGCATGCCAAAGTTTCGGGCAGCCGTGGCTGCCGGAACTTGCAGCACCATGGTTGCGAGCTGCATGTTGACCCCAATAGCACTCACCCAAGCAGTTTACGCACTCAAGTGTAAGTCCATGGACCTCAGAACATGGCCACCTAACCCCCTCTGGCCCAAAGAAGGCTTTCAAATCTAAACCTCCCATTATTTCCGCTTCTGAACTGGCAAGCAAAGGGTGCAGCCAAGTCAAATAAAACACATCTCAGACCTCGCCACCAGGCCCAAGCACAATGATAAGCATTTTTCCCCGGGGGGCAAATGCAACCGCGTCTATGGCACAGGTCTCGCCTAACAGCCCCGCTTGCAGTCCAGGGGCGGGCTCTCTGGACGGATCCGAGGCATATCCTCTCCTGGAAGCCTTTGCAAACCTGGCAGGCGCAATAGCAATGCGCCTCGGGCCACCTGTTTTCTAGGTCCTCCAGTGGAGAGGTTAGAATAAGGGTACCATTTTGCTTGTAGTCTATTTTAGTAGGAGAACCCTCCCCAAAAAAGTTGGCAAAAAGGGGGGGACCTAGATATTCTACCACGGCTGTTAATTGTATGTCCGTAGCTTTGGGCGCGTAATATCGTCAATTACGAGAAAGCTGGAAAGCTTTCCGATCTTTCAATCTGTCCAAATGGCCGTTGACCATCGTCAAACCCACGCCGAGGCACAAGGCATCACCACCTGCTGCAGGAAGCTGGTAGGGCACAGCGTGTCATCCCAGTCGAAGAAGATGCAGCTGTGCGCCTCGGTCGCTCAACTCGGCTGGACCAAGCATCTGGATGTCTCAAACAAAGCCGCAGGTGGCAAGGAGCAACCTGTTTGCAAAACACAACTAGGTCCTCCAGTGGAGCGGTTAGAATAAAGGTACCCGATCTTTTTTCGGTAGTCTATTTTAGTAGGGGAACGCTCCCCAAAAAGGGTAAAAGGGCACTACTGGGGGACCTAGACAACCAGAAGTGCGTTTCAGTATTCCAAACACTCGATCTCGTTGAGCTGATTCACATTCAATGCCCGAGCAAAGTCGACCAGTATCCATGCTGATCGGGCTGTAACACTGTACCGTAGCTTGCCCAAGCAGGTTGGCTCTACCACTTGGGCAGCGACTAATTCCAACTTGAGAAATCTCTAAGGACACGATTCATGCCACGGGTTGTCAAGCTGAAGCCTGCTAGTGGATTAAGCCTAATTCTTGATGGGCGGTCCTGTCAACCCGATGAATCAGCAGCTTGCATTTGCTTGACCTTCATAGAAGTTCTGCAACTTGCGCACTTTCTGGAGAGCTGAATCAGGTAATTCCATGGACCCCCAAGGGGGGACCCCCAAGGGGGGACCCCCTTCAAGGGGGGTCCAAAAGGGAAGGGAGTATCCCTTTTAAATTACTTCATAAAGCCATAAGGGCATATCCTTGGCATATCTTTGGCTCGTCCAGGCTACTTGGCCCTTTTCGGTTTCCATTGCGGCTTCCATCGAGTTGCCCAAAAAATCACCGCGCCCTGGGCTTCCCGGCGGCGGAGTCCTTCTCCTCGCTCGCCTCGCGTGGGGAAAACCGCAAGCGCCAGAGATCTTGCTGCTGCGAAATCGGTAGGTGATAAGAAATGGAAGGGGAAGGAACCGGTCTTGAGGATCCACTTGGATGGTGAAATAGGTAGGGAATGAGAAATGGAATGAACCGGTTTTGGGGATCCCCGAAGAAAGGACCAGTTGGATGGTGCCATGGGTAGGGAATGAGTTGGAATGAACCGGTTTTGGGGATCCCCACCAGTTGGATGGTTTATAGGGGTTCATTCCAACTCATTCCCTACTGAGCACCAGCAAGATATGTCAGGACTTGACCAGTGAACCCCCTCTGATTCAAGACACCGGGATTTCCCAGCCGACCAATCAAGTTCCAACATGATGCGGGGGTTCTTATTCAGCCAGCCAAAGCAGACTGTGAGCTTCTCCAGAAATAGCGAGCCAAAGAAAATGCTCGCGTGGCTCAGGCCGGCTCCCTCAATAAGATCCAATTTGCCGACATCTGTCAGCCGGTGCGAGGCGAACCCAACTCACTGCTGGAGCGATTTCGTGCGGAGCCCAAAACTAAGCTCTGCCAACCTCCGCTTTAGTGCGCCTCCTTGCAGTGGTCCGGTTGATTTGTTGGCTTGGGGTTCTGAAGGGTACACCTACACAGCACACCCCCTTCATGGCTAAACCTTCCACCCGCACCGCAACCGGTCGCGAACGCACGACTGCTTGCATTTCGGCGGCTGCCATGTCCTACGGCCCATGATGGCGCAAAGCAAGGGCGTCTTCAAAACCATCCAACACTTCCAAAAAACAGTGAAGGCCGCAAACGAGCCAACAGTGGACGGAAGCTGGCCAAAACCTCCCGACCTGAGCAGGTCAATCTGAAAATAAGCAGGTCAAGAGCAACCTCGGCGCCGGAGCCGGAGCCAAATCATCCACTCCCATTCCAAGCGCCCGCCTCGGCCGTCGCTGGAGGTGCCTCCGGCGCCTGGCCGAGTGGATTCGGCCAACAGAAACGTGGCGACAACTACAACGGCCTCACTTCCGAACGAGTGGACTCGCCAAACACGTCACAACTTGTTGTTTACCAACAAGATTTGGTTTCCCCAAAAGTTGAAAGTCCAGGAACTCAGGAAGTGAGTTCACTTGTTGTGTCCAATTCGTAAATGCCAGCTGCTTGAACCAAACAGTTAAAATCCACAGATCCGCTACCAAATAGCCATGAAAGGTGGATTCCATCAATAAACATATCCAAATTCCCTGTGCTTTCTATGGAACCTACCGCGCCCAAGCAGGTGGCAGTCTTGGCACGCCTAAAAAGACCCGCCTACACAAACAACTGCGGGCTTGAGCGTGCCCGAAGCTAAAACAATCACACGGTGCATGCTTCTCGTTGCATCCTTCAGGCCTGGGGGGGCTGAGGTGGTGACAGGTTCATGTGATCTTTGGCAGCTTTCCAAAGCAGGCAACTTGGGATCAAACCAACGCACACAACAAACACACGACCCACAAAAAGACGTCGAAGCATGCAAAGCATACACAAACACGCACACAATCGCACACACAAGGACAACCAAAAGCACAAGCACAAACTAACACAGTGCACACAACCACACAAGCAGGTGAACAAACACGGAAACAAACAAACAAACACAAACACTGAACAAATAACCAAACACACCAAACCAACCAACCAACCAACCAACCAACCAACCAACCAACCAACCAACCAACCACACAACCAACCAACCAACCAACCAACCAACCAACCAACCAACCAACCAACCAATCAACCAACCAACCAACCAACCAACCAACCAACCAACCAACCAACCAACCAACCAACCAAACCAAACCAAACCAAACCAAACCAAACCAAACCAAACCAAACCAAACCAAACCAAACCAAACCAAACCAAACCAAACCAAACCAAACCAAACCAAGCCAAGCCAAGCCAAGCCAAACCAAACCAAACCAAACCAAACCAACCAACCAACCAACCAACCAACCAACCAACCAACCAACCAACCAACCAACCAACCACACAACCAACCAACCAACCAACCAACCAACCAACCAAACAAAGAAACAAACAAACAGACAGACAAACAAACAAACAAACAAACAAACAAACAAACAAACAAACAAACGTGCGCGCGCACACACACACACAGACACACACACACACAGACACACACACACAGACACACACACACACACACCACAACAACAACAACAACAACAACAACAACAACAACAACAACAACAACAACAACAACAACAACAACAACAACAACAACAACAACGCAAACACAAAAAAAGAACACACATAAACCCACGACACCGCAACGCAACACAACACAACACAGCACCAATCCACATGACACAACACGGCACAACACCCAGCATACACACACACAACACAACATGACACAACATATCACAGCACGACTCAGCCTAACACAGCACAACTCAGCCTAACACAGCACAACACAGCACAACACAGCATAAGACAACATGTCAGTATAAAACATCATAAAACACAAGAATTCAGCTGACAGCAACAACGACACAACCTGACACCAACACAACATGACACAAAATAGCACAGCATAGAACAGCGTAACGCATCAACACACATCATAACGCAGCACAGCTCAGCACAACATAGAACAACACAACATAACAACAACAGACACACACACACACGCACAACATTGCACATCATGACACGCAACGCACACTTCATGGTACGACAGAATACATAATGCTTGCACTACATAACATGCTACACGACATAACGCAGCATAAAATAGCATCACACAGCACTCAACATGATAACACGGCATACTAAAAAATAGCCACAACATGATACAGCCAACTCAGCATAAACAACATAACACAAACATGACACAATACACCACGGCTTATTATCTGAACATGACCTAGCACAGCGCACCACAAACTAAGACAGGTACTGCACCATAAGGACAGCACAAGACTGCATAGTACAGCACGAAACAAATAAAACATCTTACCATTGCGTATCACAACATAAGACACCACACCACAGCATATATATATATATACATACGGGGGGTGAGGGATCAAAAACAAACTTTTTAGGCATCAAAAACAACTCTCATTGATTTACTATTAAAATGAAAAATCAGAGGATCAAAAAACCACTTTTTAGGGATAAAAACAACTTCTTCATTTCGTGGCAGGCGAAGCACTTTCGCAAGGTCAGGAACAGATTTCGTGGCAGGCACAGCACTTTCGCAAGGTAGGCACAATGCTTTCGCAGGTCAGGTACAGATATCGCGGCAGGCGCAGCACTTTCGCAAGGTGCGGTGCAGATTTCGCGGCAGGAGCAGCACTTTCGCAAGGTCAGGTACTGATTTCGTGGCAGGCGCAATACTTTCGGAAGGTCAGGTACAGATTTCGCAGCAGGCAGCACTTTACCAAGGTCAGGTACAGATTCGCGGCAGACGCAGGACTTTTGTAAGGTGCGGTCCAATTTCGCCGCAGGCGCAGCACTTTCGCAAGGCACGGTGCAGAGTTTGACGCAGGCGCAGCATTTTCGCAAGCAGTGAAGAAAAAGATACAGAGATATAAACCTGAAGAAAAAGGGAGACAAACAGAGAGAGAGAGAGAGAGAGAGAGAGCGAGAAAGAAAGAAAGAAAGAAAGAAAGAAAGAAAGAGAGTGATGATGGAGGAAGTGATGATTCAGCAAAGGGTGCGTTAAGCTTTGTATACATTCTGAAAATCAGCCGGGGGGTTGTGGGGGGGGGCTGCCGCCCATGATGTTCGAGGACGTGATGATTCAACAAGGGGTGATGATCGAAGAAGTGATGATTCAGCAATGGGTGCAGTAATCCCTGTAAACATTCTGAAAATCAGCGGGGGGGTTCGGGGGGGGGGGCAGCCCCCCCAATGATGCTCGAAGAAGTGATGATTCAACAAAGGGTGATGATGATCGAAGAAGTGATGATTCAGCAAAGGGTGCGTTAATCACTGTCAACCTTCTACAAATCCGCGGGTGGGTTGGGGGGGGTTCCTTCCTCCTTCCTTCCTTCCTTCCTTCCTGCCTGCCTTCCTTCCTTCCTTCCTTCCTGCCTGCCTGCCTTCCTTCCTTCCCTCCTTCCTTCCCTTCATACGAATGAGCATAAGTTTTTGTTGATGTCTAATAAGTTTTTGTTTGATGCCTAATAAGTTGTTTTTTGATGCCTATCCCCAACATCACACCGTTGATTAAGATGGCATACAGAATAGCTTTGCAACACACCACACATCATAGCCAGAATGCAGCGCAACACCACATAACACAGCATAACACAACATAAAGCACCATAAATCAACAAAACACATCATATCCACAACATAGCACACAATACCACGTCATAGCTACACGACATACCATGACATAACACAACATATTACATAAACACACATCAGAACACATCGTAACACATTACAACACGGCACAACCCAACATAACACAACATAACAGCACACAACACACAACACCCAAGACACACAAGGAGAGCCCCGCCTGTGCGACGGCTACCGGCTGATCCTGCCACACCTGACAATGCTTTCAACATATCGCATCGCCGCACAGCTGCTTAACCGCATAAATATCCTGCCTGCTCGCTTTCGACAACCTAGGACATAGTAAATGCAGCCGGAATAAAAACACACGGTGGCCCAAAAAGATTAGCAAATGAACATGGAATACAAACAAGCACCCGCCACCTCCGCCCATGTTTTCCGGAAAAAAATATATAACGAAAAAGCAGAAGGAGAGAAAAAAGAGGAGAGGCAGCCAAGCTGACCTTTATAACATTGTCCTTCAGCTCCCCCAAAGTCCAAAATTTCCAGCTTTCCCAAACCCATGTATTCTTACATCGCTCTTGTTTAAAAGCGGTCCGCAATCAAACCCGCAAATCGGGTAGCACTGCAGCTCCCAATTTTACATTTTTCCAGGGCCCCCTGGAATAAAGTCTTGTTGCCTGCCCCCCCCGAAAAAATAAAACCTGCCCAGAGTAAATGCCCCTTGACTAGTTAAAAATTAGCCAGCCCAGGTGATGCTAGCGATGCTTCTGGTCTTGTCGTTAGATTTGGGCCTGCTCCTCGAATTCACAATGGTCAGCTTTTAGAAGCCCATGTTTTCTTACATGCATTTTGTTTAACGCATACCCACAATCAAACCCATAAAGGGCGTAGTACTCTAGGGCCCCCAATTCGACATTTTCAGGGGCCCCTGGAATAAAGTCTTGTTGCCTGGCTCCGCAATACTGAATGAAAGTTGAAACTCATTTCCAAATCTGAAAAGGAACCTCCAGCAATACTGTAATAATACTAAATCAAATTGAAACTCAATTCCAAAATTCAAACAGAACCTCCAGCAATAGTAAAACAAATTGAAACTCAATTCCAAATGTCAAAAAAACAGCCTCCAGCAATAGTAAAACAAATTGAAACTCAATTCCAAATGTCAAAAAAAGAGCCTCCAGCAATAGTAAAACAAATTGAAACTCAATTCCAAATGTCAAAAAAAGAGCCTCCAGCAATAGTAAAACAAATTGAAACTCAATTCCAAATGTCAAAAAAAGAGCCTCCAGCAATAGTAAAACAAATTGAAACTCAATTCCAAATGTCAAAAAAAGAGCCTCCAGCAATAGTAAAACAAATTGAAACTCAATTCCAAATGTCAAAAAAAGAGCCTCCAGCAATAGTAAAACAAATTGAAACTCAATTCCAAATGTCAAAAAAAGAGCCTCCAGCAATAGTAAAACAAATTGAAACTCAATTCCAAATGTCAAAAAAAGAGCCTCCAGCAATAGTAAAACAAATTGAAACTCAATTCCAAATGTCAAAAAAAGAGCCTTCAGCAATAGTAAAACAAATTGAAACTCAATTCCAAATGTCAAAAAAAGAGCCTCCAGCAATAGTAAAACAAATTGAAACTCAATTCAAATGTCAAAAAGAGCCTCCAGCAATAGTAAACAAATTGAAACTCAATCGTCAAAAAAGAGCCTCCAGCAATAGTAAAACAAATTGAAACCTAATTCCAACAAGTCAAAAGAGGCCTCCAGCAATAGTGAACAAATTGAAACTCAATTCCAAATGTCAAAAAAGAGCCTCCAGTAATAGTAAAAAACAAATAAACTAATTCCAAATGTCAAAAAGAGCCCAGCAATAGCAAACAAATTGAAACTCAATCTAAATGTCCTGCAAGATTTCCAGCAATAGTAAAACAAATTGAAACTCAATTCCAAATGTCAAAAAAAAGAGCCTCCAGCAATAGTAAAACAAATTGAAACTCAATTCCAAATGTCAAAAAAAGAGCCTCCAGCAATAGTAAAACAAATTGAAACTCAATTCCAAATGTCAAAAAAAGAGCCTCCAGCAATAGTAAAACAAATTGAAACTCAATTCCAAATG